AAAGCTATTAATTAGATAATAATTCTGATAAAAGTCATACTCTTATGATAACTGCTAGCACTCCGGCGACCATAACAGTGAACTGGAAGAAGTCGGTCCATATGACACCCTTGAGGCCACCCATAGACGTATAGATGGTTACTATGAGACCAATGACTAAAATACTGGAACTGATGGACATATCGGTGACAATAGACAGTGCTATCGATGGCGCGAACCTTACGATATGAATGAAACAAGAATTTCAAACATTGTATTCAACACACGCTTTGTTAGGGACTCACAGCTCGACTCCAAAGAATGGGATCTAAAATGTAGACAAAAATTAATTGCCATTAAACAGGAATATACGCTATACTCGTATTTTATACCATAGCTAGCAACGTGGACAAATTGGTTATAATTTGCAAATTATGTGATTGAAAGCGTTTGTGAATGTATTCGTTGACCGAAAGTAGATTCATGTTATAGAAGACAGGAATGAAGACTTCAGCGGCGAGTATAGCGCCCAACACAGCCGGGATCACTATTACCCAGAACATAGTGCCCGTCACGTACACCACCGTTGGAAAGCCTATGAACGAAGTGCTCGGCAAAAAACTGGCCATAATTGAGATACAAACCGGAAACGGAGACATAGTTTTGCCACTGATTTGCAAAAATACACATTTGTTTGAAATAATGTTTACAAATAGGAAACTGTTTGCAATGAATACCCTCTCAAGAACTCGTCCTCATTGGTAGTCTTGCGGTCTTTCCACGCGTAATACAAACCGATTGCTGTCGATATCATTAACATCGCGATGAATACCACGTAGTCTACGGCACCGAAATGGTCAGACATGTCGGAGACTGGTTTTTGGTAGGTTTCTCCACTTGTTTCAAATGAGATTTTATATTTTCAAGTCTTTAACTAAAGCCAAATCTCTTTGGATTTATTGTAATCTCATATCTATCTAATGAATATTATTAGGCAATTGAATGATCGCAATGATGTGAATAATTACTGTAAATATATAATTAAAAGCGTAAATCATTTATAATTGAGATCATGTCTGCAATTAAGTGTAACTTCTGAAAACTTATAGCAGTATTAGTTTAATAAGACAAATTAATTAATGTAAAATTTAATACTGTAACCTTTTTTATTTAATATTACAAATTACAGATTGGATAACAAAAAGACTACCCTACTTTAAATCAAATTAATTTTAATACCATGTAGTTTATATAATTATATTTATTTCCAACTTGTAGTAGAATAGTTAGGTGTTTTATGGTACATGACTTGTTTATAATTAAATTAGATAGAATTTTAACCAAGGTTGTTTAGAAAAAATTGACAAACATTTGTGATTTTGTATGTAAATCATAAATTGAAGTTTTATGCAAAGTGTTATTTTATAAAAATTCATATTTTAACAAAATTATTAGTGAAAACGTTTTTAGTGATATTTTTTATTTAACATTAAAAACAGTTTTATCATGTTATAAAATAAATATGTATACTTTAATTTAAGTAAATAAATTATGATTAACATGAAATATAAATTTCTAAGCAAGCGAATATTTAAAATATTTAAATTATAGTTGAAAACCTGTTAAGATTAAACATACAAACAAATATATTAAAAATATATGTCAATTGAAAAATAAATTGTAATTAGTAACTTTAAAAATATTGCTATAAAAGGTTCCACTAATAATTTTGTTAAAATATTAATTTTTATTAAATAGCAGCTTGTATAATACTTCAACTTATGTTATAAAAACTATGATTTACGGTACATACAAAAACAAAAATCTTTGACAATTTTTTCTAAACTAACTTGGTTAAAATTATATTCAATTTGATTATATACATGTCATACACAAAACAAACCCTAACTATTCTACTACTATACTGTATAATTTGGTAATGAATATATTTATATAGTTTACTAAACATGGTATTAAAATTATTTTGATTTAAACTAGAGAAGTCCTTTTTTGTCTACTTTGTAACTTGTAAGTGGAGTTTAATAAAAAGTTTTCGTATAAGTTTAAATAAATAGATTACAAATTAAATAACAAAATTTTATTTAAGTATTATATTGTGTAAATTTCAATTTGATTACAAAATACTTCAGTGAGTAATGGACCCAGTTGTTTGGGACCTCTTTGCCCGGTCATATGTCTGTGCACACCACCCAACTCTTGGATATCTCCTAATATACTCATGAGTTTTGAATACTTTAAACCACTGTCCGATGGATACTTCATAAACAGCAATTTAGTAAATAATACAATTATCAATTACATTTTCTGTTGAAATCTAATAAAAATAAATATTTAATTTAATATTTCATGAATCATGATATTTGTTAAGCACTTATTTGACAACATGCGGGTGCGATAGGTTGTGTTGATTTGAGTTGATTATGTTTTTAAAATAAGCTATCTATTATGACGCAAATTAAGTGCTTAAAATACACAAATATAGAAATATATTTTATTGATTAAAATTTAATTAAGCTCGAATTTTCGTATAATTTATTTCGAAGTTGGCTTTGTTTTTTTAATAATAAAAATAAATAACAATAATGATGTATGCATCAAATGGCATTTTTATTATAGCAAGTGATCTCTCTCATACTGATACCGTGTATAATAATATTAGAGCGAAGCTGTGTTTAACTCACATCTCCCGTCAGTTATACCCCTTATATGCATACCACAGTCCCTTACATAAGGTATCGCATTACAGTACAGTGCAGTATGAGCGCATAGTTACCCAGTATGTGGATAGGGATGTGTCTG